GAATGGAAGTGTAAGTATGGGGGCAAGATGGTTCATTGAAATGGCAAGCAATTGGAAGGCTGTGGTCACTCTTATGGCCGGAGCAGAGGTGTTTTACAAAATGGTCACACAATGTGTATTTGGTCTCACCAATGTGAAAGAGACAGCTTGGTAAGCAGAGAATATAGTAACTAGATTGAAAGAAATACAAGAAAACTGCTACTTCACCTGGAATGTGCACTTGGGGGCCTTGGACATTGAAAAAGTAAAAGATGTGTTTGATGGTAGTATCCTGCTACAAATGGCAGAGGACAGTCATTTATATGTGATGACTGGCTGGGTGGAAAGTGAGATCAAGGAGAAGCCCTATTGCTGAGGAATGAGGGCGGAATGTAGGAAATGGGTTGAACATGGCTGAGGGCCCTGTCAAGCATGGTCGAAGGAGAAAGGGGAACGTGTTGGAGGCATATCTGCTGAAGGGGCAGCATCAGAGCAGATGTGATACAGACAAACTGGGAGAATAGGCAGGATTCCTTGCAGGAAGCAGGGTGTGAAGACAGGTAGTCCAACTGGTTGTGAGAGTTGGTGGGTTCGTAGTGGATATTGATGGAAGCCTATCCCCAGAAATAGAAACAGAGAAGTCATGGAAGGAAAGAGTTAGAGATGGGCCAAGTGAAAGTGAGCAATGATTGGAATTTGAGCACCTCCCCATCTGTTCCACTCCCTTCCTCTTGAGTGCAGGGATGAACTCACTTTGGAACTCCATTATAAACCCACTGACTTTTCTGAAGAAGGGTCTAGGCCCGAAACGTCAGCTTTCCTGCTCCTCTGATGCTGCTTGGCCTGCTGTGTTCATCCAGCTCTACACCTTGTTATCTCAGATTCTCCAGCATCTGCAGTTCCTACTATTTCTGACTCCCACAGCTACCTGGACTGTACATCCTCACACCCTGCTTACTGTAATGACTCCATCTCATTCTCTCAGTTCCTCCGTCTTCGTCATATATGTTCAGATGAGGCCAACTTCGACAAGGGAGCCTCCAAAATGTCCACCTTCTCCCTCAACCCAGGATTCCCCAGCACCATTGTCGACAGGGCCCTCAACCGGGTCAGACTCATCTCCCGCACTTTCGCCCTCACCCTTTCTCTTCCCTCCCGTGACAGCGATAGGCTTCCCCTTGCCCTTACCTACCATCCCACCAGCATCCACATGCAGAAGATCATCAGATGCCATTTCTGCCACCTCCAGACACACATTCCCATATTCCCCTCCCCTCCTTTGTCAGCCTTCCGCAGATGCTGTTCCCTCCGGGCCACACTGGTCCACTCTTCCTTCACCCCCAAAATCCCAGGGCACCTTCCTCGCAACTGGCAAAGGTGCAACACCTGCCCATTTACCTCCTCCCTCCCCAGTATCCAAGGGCCCAAACATACCTTCCAGGTGAAGCAACACTTCACCTGCACTTCCCAGAATCTAGTCTACTGCATTCGCTGCTCACAACGCAGTCTCTTCTACATTGGGGAAATGAAGCTTAGATTGGGTGACCGCTTCGCAGAACATCTATGTTCTGCTTGCAAAAAAGACCCCGAGCTACCTGTTGCCTGCCACTTTAACGCACCATCCAGTTCCCTGGCCAAATCTCTGTCTCTGGCTTGCTGCAGTGTTCCAGCAAAGCTCAACACAATTCCACTTGGAATTGCAGCCCTCCAGACTCAATAATCGAGTTCAATAATTTTAGGGCCTAAACTCTCCCATGTCCGAGCCCCCCAGCCCACACACCAGGCCTTGTAATCACATTGTCTGCCATTACACACTACCTGTTTGTTAGCCATTAACAGCTATTTACCCTCCTAGCCAGATCATTATCAACTCCTTTGTCTATCCAACTGATCTTCTTTCTCTTTGGGCTGTATCCTATCGTTTATTCCCTACCCCAATCCCGTCCCTATTTTCTGCATATAAACCGACGTTTTCCCAGCTTCCATCAGTTCTGAGGAACAGTCACCGCACATGAAATGTCCACTCTGATTTTTTCTTCACAGACGCTGCCAGATGTGCTGAGCTTTTCCAGCAACTTCTGTTTGTCATCACTGTGCAACATCCCCCCATATGTAGCCCCTCCGTCAGGAACTGAGTTTCATTAAGTGACCCCCATTTGGGCCACATGGGTTCAGCTAGTACGAATGTCACATGGCACCAGAGGCCTAGAGGGAGCTGTGTTACCCCCAGAAAGTGGGTCATTAATTGGCACTCTCCAGGTTCCATTAACAGATTGACATTTAATTCCAGAGGATAAAGGAACGCCATCACACTGTCCCAATTCAGGTATTTTTTTTACCACCAGCGACAGCAAAATATTGCGCTAAGGATTCTTGTTAACTCATTCGGAATTTCAAACTGCACACAACTCCTATCTCCAACTGCCGTCGTGACATCAATCGCCTCAACCTCTCCACCCCTCTCACCCACTCCAACCTCTCCCCCGCAGAACGTGCAGCCCTCCGCTCCAATCCCAACCTCACCATAAAACCTGCAGACAAGGGAGGCGCAGTTGTAGTATGGCACACTGACCTCCACATCGCCGAGGCCAGGTGCCAACTCTCCAACACCTCCTCCTACGGCCCCCTTGATCATGACCCCACCCCTGACCACCAAACCATCATCTCCCAAACCATCCACAACCTCATCATCTCAGGTGACCTCCCACCCACAGCCTCCAACCTCATCGTTCCCCAAACCCGCACCGCCCGCTACTATCTCCTTCCCAAAATCCACAAACCTGACTGCCCTGGTCGACCCATTGTCTCCGCCTGCTCCTGCCCCACCGAACTTATCTCCACCTATCTCGACTCCATTTTCTCCCCCTTGGTCCAGGAACTCCCTACCTATGTCTGTGACACCACCCACACCCTCCACACCCTCCACCTCCTCCAAAACTTCCAATTCCCCGGTCCCCAACACCTCATCTTCACCATGGACGTCCAGTCCCTATACACCTGCATTCCCCATGCAGATGGCCTAAAGGCCCTCCGCTTCTTCCTGTCCCGCAGGCCCGACCAGTCCCCCTCCACTGACACCCTCATCCGCTTAGCCGGACTCGTCCTCACCCTGAACAACTTCTCTTTCAATTCCTCCCACTTCCTACAGACAAAGGGGGTGGCCATGGCTACCCGCATGAGCCCAAACTATGCCTGCCTCTTTGTAGGTTACGTGGAACAATCCCTCTTCCGTAACTACACTGGCCCTAAACACCACCTCTTCCTCCGTTACACTGATGACTGTATCGGCGCCGCCTCGTGCTCCCACGAGGAGCTGAACAGTTCATCCACTTTACCAACACCTTCCACCCCAATCTTAAGTTCACCTGGACCATCTCTGATACCTCTCTCTCCTTCCTGGAACTCTCTGTTTCCATCTCTGGCAACCATCTGGAAACTGACATCCATTTCAAGCCTACCAACTCCCACAGCTACCTAGAATACACCTCCTCCCACTCACCTTCCTGCAAAAATGCCATCCCCTATTCCCAATTCCTTCGTCTCTGCCGCATCTGCTCCCAGGATGAGGCATTACACTCCCGTACATCTCAGATGTCCTCGTTTTTCAAGGACCGCAACTTCCCCCTCCCAGTGGTCGAGAACGCACTTGACCGTGTCTCCCGCATTTCCCGCAACTCATCCCTCACACCCCCTCCCCGCAATAACAACCAAAACAGAATCCCCCTCGTCCTCACGTACCACCCCACCAACGTCCGGATCCAACGCATCATCCTCCGACACTTCCGCCATCTGCAATCCGACCCCACCACCAAAGACATTTTTCCCTCCCCATCCTTATCTGCTTTCCGGAGGGACCACTATCTCCGGGACTACCTTGTCCGCTCCACACTCCCCTCCAGCCCCACCACACCTGGCACTTTTCCGTGCAACAGCAGGAAGTGCTACACCTGCCCCTACACCTCCCCCCTCACCCCCATCAAGACTTTCCACATCAAGCAAATGTTCACCTGCACATCTGCTAATGTGGTATACTGTATCCGCTGTTCCCGTTGTGGCCTCCTCTACATCGGGGAAACCAAACCGAGGCTTGGGGACCACTTTGCAGAACACCTACGCTCGGTTCGCACTAAACAACTGCACCTCCCAGTCGTGAGCCATTTCAACTCCTCCTCCCATTCCTCAGACGACATGTCCATCCTGGGCCTCCTGCAGTGCCACAACGATGCCACCCGAAGGTTGCAGGAACAGCAACTCATATTCCGCTTGGGAACCCTGCAGCCCAATGGTATCAATGTGGATTTCACAAG